TAACTTTGACACCCTGCACCACAAGATGGTATTTTTAAAACGTCTGGAAGACAGCTATTTTTTTCCTCCATAAGTGCTATTAAAAACCTAAGCTTTTAGTCACACCTAACTTATTCTTATAACTCTAACAACTAAAAGAGATGTGAATAGCTCCTTTGACTACGATGACTTGGATGACTGAGAACCTTCACAGACAACAGTGTACAAGGGTTATCAGAATATGGCTGTTGACTTATTAACTATCAAAAATTTAGATCCTAGCCTTATATTATGTAAAAATACAATGCTTTTGACATATCTTTACTTATTCAAGTGGGACATTTTTGGGGGGCTAAATCAACCTTCCTCTTTATTTTGTTTATCCAGTTTGGGGTTGCAGGGGTGGGGGGCTATCCCAATTGTTATGGAGCAAAGCAAAAGATATACTGTGGACAGGTTGCCAGTCTGTTGAAGGGCCAGCACTTAAAACAATCTGTTAGCCTGACAAGCAAATGCCACACAGAACAACCAAGGCAGGATTTTAACTCGGGACATTGTTCCTGTGAGGAGATGGTTCTAACCACTGCATTGCAACCTGCATTTCATTAATGTTTTCTCTGTTTAATAATTGCTCAGTCCATGCTTTCTTGTCAGCCAAGGTGGTTCCCAAATCCTGCTTCCTGTCTCATTTCAAACATGGTGTGGCAAAAAGGAAAGATGGCAGCTGGTGGTGTTGAAGCACAGGCCCCGTGCTCTCAGTGTGATTGTTAGCCGAGCGCCTATCCTTGGCTTCACTGACAGTCCTCGGCTATTTTATATGCAAAGAGACGCTTTCCTTGTTGCCCAGGCTTCAAACATCATGGGATTGCGGGAAAACAACTTTCCAATATCTCTCCCTGAAACTGAAATATTGGTGTGTTTGCAATGAATTTTGGGGTGCTTCTTTATTATTTTGGTGCTTATTTGGACTTTTTTTTTAAGTACTGTGGGCTTCCCGTTGTAATACACATTATTAAATTGACAAGCACGGAGTGCGTGAGTTCCCTTCAGGAGCGTGCTTGACCTTTCCACTTACAGAGTTTGAGATAACTGGGTTCAAGGGGTATTGAGTTAGTGAATTCTTGAATCCAGATGGGGGTTTGACCCAGTAACCATGTTTTATTTTGTTGCCAGAGAACAGTCTGGCTTGCAAGCCAAGTAAAGAACAAAAAAAACTGAATCATGAGTAGTCCCCTACAACTTCATCACTGTACGACCTTTGGCTGATTTAGCTGTAAAGGCAGGTTTGATCATGGTAGAGAAATGACTGTAACATAGAGCGGAGCTAAATATCCCATTGTGCCAGCAGTTGTCGTATTCAGGCTTTTGAAGCAGGTTGTTGGCAGCTGTCTGTGTGGTAACCTTATTACAGGACTGCAATCATAATGTGTTTTTTGTGTGATGGATACAACTTTTCTGTTTTGGGCTTTATATGTATGTGTGTGTGAGACACAAGCCTTACTTGACACTGACTTATAGACACACTGTGATTCTACATATTTTAATGTATGTTTTTCTCTTTTTTGAATTGCGTGACTCAGGCAGCTGTTTAAATGGCACACATCTCCAGTTTATGCGTCCACGTTTTGCTTCCCTATCCTTTCGAAACGAACTAATGTGGGCTCTCTTTTATGATGCTTTGTGGTCTCACTTCCCCCTCCCCATTTTGCTAATGGGTAAATCAGTTAACCCATGCATAAAGCACTGTTGATCTCTTCCTGCTGAGCCTACATTAAAACTGCCTTTATCCAGTCAGTTTCTGCTGCCTGCCTATTGAAGACGGTTTGTATAGCTCCTCTCTGTTCAGCTCCCCTCTGCTGCTGATTTACAAACAGCTGGCTGTGACAGCAGTTGGAGTTGGTTGTACTGACTTCTGTAGTTCTGAGCAGCAGTTTAGCCTTTGCCTCTGTTTGAATGTAGCCTCCTGATCTGTGTGTTGTTCATTAATTTTTTTCAGGCTGTCTGATGACTGACTGACAGATGCCTTCACCATGAAGCTGAGTTGCAGCGCGCTGGTCGTCGCCCTCCTGCTGTCCCAGGCCAGAAGCTTCCTGAGCCCCTCAGAGGATGACAGCTTCCCTGAAGAATGGGTGCTGCTCCATGTGGTTCAGGGCCACATTGGGGCCGGAAACTACAGCTACCTACGCCTCAACCACGACGGCAGAATCATCCTCCACATGCAAAGCCTCAAGGGAGACGCAGACCTGTACGTGTCAGATAAAACCCTGCACCCGAGCTTCGACACCTACAAGCTGCAATCGGCCACCTGCGGACAAGATGTGGTGGTGGTCCCCGGGGACTTCACAAGGCCTGTGGGCATCGGCATTTATGGCCACCCGTCTCACCAGGAGAGTGAGTTTGAAATGCGAGTGTTCTACGATCAGACTGTGTCCCAAGACCCATTTGATAAGGGCTCTTACAACTCAGAAGGTGTACATAAGGAAAAGAAATCTGCTCATGCTACAGAGGACGACTTCCAGGAGGAAGAGTCCATCTTTTGGACTATTCTGATCGGACTCCTGAAGATTATACTTGAGATTTTGTTTTGAAAATCACTGTTCATTGCTGTGACAGCAGGAGGATATTCTGCCATGGTACATTAGATTCCTTTCATTTTGTGAGGGTGAAAAAAATGTTGCACCAAACCCCAGGGAGATTTCTGACATTTAAACAATCAAACCTACAGACTTGGTAAACAGCAAAGTCAGATTTACAGCACGGAATTCACCAGCGAAGCCTGACCAGTCAGAAAATGTTTCACAAAGTGTATTTAGTTTTAGCTACACTAAAAGAACACAGGGGGACTTTTTCTGGAGTCTTGAAAGGTATATATGGAGTAAGAAGTTTCTTTATGCACATAAGTCAGTCGCTAGAACCATTCTTTCTTTTCCAGTGCCCAAAGTCATAAAATTATTAAAAATATCAAAGGTAAAAACTGCAGTGAAGACACAAATAGGTTCTAAATTTGAGTTTGAGGCTTCAGCACTTTGGGATACTCCCATGCTATGCTTCAAAGAGAAAGTGTTAACTCTTATACTGTCACACTTGGGAGACACATTGAAATGCTTCCTTTATTTCATGCCTCCACACGTCTGGTCGGTCTGATCTTGTAAAATGTTCTTAGAATTTCTGTTTTTAGGAAGTTACAAAGCATTGTTTATCGCAGCAATCAGAAGCAGGGTTCCCGACACATTGTGTTATTCCCACCGTGTAGGAAAAATGATGGTGTGTGTGCAGGATTCTTAGGGGGAGTCTGTGAACTAAATTAACTCGATGGTTAATAGCAGTTTGCAGGATCTTTACTTTAGCTGCTACTTTGAAGCTTTATAATCTCTTCTTTTAAACTTAATTTTACCCAAAGCAAAGTTTTCTGTTTGATTATAATTAGTTTTTTTCCCCCCCACAGTCGCACATGCAGCAGACTTTGGAAAATGAGAGAACCTCTGTGTGTTTTTGTTTTTTTTCCCTCAGTGCACAGAGGATCTTTGTCCAAAACTGCCAAACTGTGCCCAACACCATAATCAACAGTATCACAAAGTTTTGAGGCCTAATTTTCACTTAATGCCACTGTTAAGTTTAAATGTGTATGTGCTGCTCTGGTGTGGTTAAATTGTCCGACTTGACCAGCTGTCACTAATTCTTATACCATGATCTATATGTCTAGTTTTTGTGCACAGATTCAAACCGTAGGTCAAAAACTGGCTGGGCTTCACCTCGCTGACGAGTGATCTTTCAGCTATGCAGCTTCTCCTAAAATCCACCACACTTGACTTCCAAGCTAATAATACTTATTTGATTAGTGTTAAACCAAACCCCTTAATTTGAATTCTACTGAGGTCACACTGTGCATAGGGTTGTTGTTTCCTTATTGCTCAAAGGTGGAGGGATCACGTTAAACACATCCAAAGTCATCGGTTAGCCTCATAGTAGCTTCAGCTTAACATTTCTTTCTACAAGACGACTACAATTTGTGCACATTTAAGATGTAGTGACACAGTAAGTCCACATTTATGTTGTTTCCTTTCTGTATCAAGATTGAAATGATCGACTAGCCCCCTCCTCAGCCTGTGAATGAATGAACACCACCTGTCTGTCTTAACACAGCTCAGCACCATGTGAGTTCTGTGGTCAAATATACTGAGCAATACGGTCAATTTGAGATATAGATACGATTTGGGAATCCTTGGACACAAAGGGGGACCTTAAAAGATATGAACAGATTTTTCTTAAAGCAGATATGTTTCATTGATTTGGACTCTACACAGGGAACATGTGTTTGTGATGAGATTTTTACCAATCTGTTAACATGAGTAGCAGCATTGTATTTAGTTTGATCGCTCACTTTTGTTGTTTTTGCCTGTTGGACAAACTCCTCATTTAAACATCACCTCCAGCGCTGGAGTTCAGTTCTGAGTAGAACTTTGTTACCCTCTGAGCAGAAATGTTCAACAGTGCCTTCAGATCGATCCTCTGAACATCTGTGGAGCTTCCTTGTTCCCAGAGGCGATCTAGTCAGGTTTCACAATAAAATTAGAAATTGTTTTAAACTTGTCACATGACTCTGCTTCTTAAGTCATTTAAACATTTTTTATGTTTTATTTTTTCTTACTTTTACATCAGAAATACCAGTAATAGTTTTATAGTATAAGCTACTTTAACATAGGCACACAGTCCAGTGTTGCATATCACCTCAGTTTGGGAACCCTGCATTTAGGAGATTGGTTTTATTAAATTAAATGTTTATGTATCAGCTGAGTCTCAAAAGGATGACATAGGTTCACAGACATTCTGGTCAGTGTGGGCAGACCCACTTTATCTTATCTCTCTATAAATCACGATCTAGGCTAACGGTGGACTTACTCTGGTTATTCTGTGGGTCCTTGAGGAAATATTAGAGGGGATTTCCCCCCATTGCAGCTACACTAACTTCAACCCTTTGTAAAGTTTTGTGTTGTAAACTCAGATTTAATCCAAACCCTCCGTACATGTTGGAAACAAAGCTTTAATACATCTCACAGGTCTGCACTATATATATTTACAGGAGTACAAACCAGTGAACAGCTGCTCAGGGTATTACTGAAATGTTCAGCTCCTCGTTTTAAACCAGTCAGAGTCATGAGCATATAAGCTGACCGCCACAAGTTTGTTTACATGTTTGAAACCAATAAGAAAAAATAAACCGCGGGTCAGAGTGTAGAGTCTTCCAGTCCTCTGTGTCATCCTCTTCACGTGAGTCTGGGGGCCAGCTCGATGCCGTTGATCCTTAGCACCGTCTGCGGCTGGATGATGATCTTTTTGCGCTGGAACCGGTGTCTCTTCCAGAAACGCATGTGGACTTTGGGCCAGGACTCGGTCTTTTCGATTACGGTGGCCTCGACTCTGACCAGCTCCTTCCCCAGAAGAGGCCTACCAATCAGGGTGAAGTCCTCAGCTCCAACCAAAAGCACCTTCTCCATGCGGATACGCTCCCCGCACTCCGCCTCGATGTGGTTCTCGATCAGGATCAAGTCTTCACCGGTGACCTTCCACTGGCGTCCGGCGAAGTGCACCAC